TTGTGAGTTTTTAAAAATAATGTTAAGTAATCGATCCTATAAAGAACCAATTTTCATTATAACCAATACGGCCACACTGACAATCATTTGTATTATGATTTTTCAGCGTGGTTCTTTGTAGAGGGTTAAAACCATATTTTCGCTATAGTTACATAGATAATATATGTGTTTATTAACTTTTCTTTTAACCTTCAACATTACATGAAAAATTTTTTTTATTGAACTCAGAATATCTCCTTTTCTGCGTTGTTGCAATTTTGTAAATAGCGTTGAAATGTAGATATATACAGGGTGCGCCATCTTTTATGTCGGTATGTAGATATTGAATAACTTTGTCATTAGTGAACCGATTGACTTGAGTAGACCAGTGTTGAAAACCTCAGTTCAAGAAATTGTACAGAACCAAATTAAATAAAAAATCGGATAGAAAGTCGGTTGTTTATTTTCAAGGATATTCAATGTTGGCATACCGACATAAAAGATGGCGCACCCTGTATGTCCAGTAAAAAAGTTCATATGCAAAACTTGAATTTTTTGAATTACAAAATTAAATGCTTGTATACAAACATACATAGATTTAATAATAATTACAAAATTAGGCAGAAAATTCCTTGTGATTGCCCTGGTTTTGATCGGACGTATTCCGTCAATGCCAAAAACCTGCGATTGCGTCGAATTTGATCGTACAATGGGCTTTCTTTTTGACGAACATGAATAGTCTTCATATATAGCAAATTTATCTACGTAATTGAGATCTAAGAAACCCACTTAAAAATCGAATATTTCAATAAAATGTTATCATCAGATAGTATCTGTATGCTAAAACATCATTGCCTAAGAATCCTTATCCAAATTCAAAGTGTTGCTAAAATTAAACGAGAAGTTTTGGTGTGAAGAGAAGAAGAATTCCATCCGACATGCCAAAATCTGTGAAGAGAGGCAATTCCTATTGTTTTAATGAAATGAATCCATTCCCTTGTCTTGTTGAGGTTTTTCATAATTCTGAACCATATTGCTTTCTGCTCTTTATCCTGGTGGCTTGCAAAAAGTGAACACTGTTTAATTAGAATGCCAAATGCGTATTTGCGAAAGCCGCATTCAACCATTCCGGAATTTCAAAACATATGCACACATGTCTGCGGCCCCAAGTTATAAATCCCTTAAACAAATAAACTTTAAGGCAAGAAGCTTAGTGCACATGATTTTGTGGAGTGGAAAGGGGAGGAGGGGTAAGGGGCCCACAAAAACAACAACAGCAACATCACAATTCGGTATCGTTATTTGGCCAGACACTTAAATTGCTTTCTTTGGCCCCGAAATAAAAATAAAACGCAATGGCGAATAACAAGCACCAACTATAATACATACATACTTGTGTACTCGTACATAGTATGTATATAACATTATAAATATGTATATAAAGGAAAGGATATGCAGTGGAGCGTAGTCTGTCCTTGCAAGATGAAAATTTTAATGATATGTATTATGAAGAACATACATACAAGTGTGTGCATTGCAGTCGTCCATAAGTGGAAAAGGATGCGGCGCAGGATATGTGTGCGTAATTTTATGTATTTGGCTCACGATTTAAACGTCTCCCGAGCAGAGAGAGATAGAGAGATAGAGAGAGAGAGAGCGAGATAGTGAGAGCATTGCGCAAAAGTTCATGTCCATGGTCACAATTGCAGCGCATTGCGACCGCAAATGGGAAATATGTAGAAGCGAAAGGATATACATAAGAAGGAGGTGGCTGGCCTGTAAATTATGTTGCCCACAGGATATGCGCCATTTGCAAGGACAGGCTTTGCTCAAAAAACAAAAACAAAAATCATCATCAACCGCTTCCGCATTCGGATTCGCATCCGCATCAAGGCCTGACAAGCTCACAAATAAAATGATGCACTTAATTTGGTTTTTTATTTAATAAACTGCACTGCAAGGCCAACTCAGCCATACATACATAAATGTATATGGATGTATGTGTGTAGAGGAACATAGAAATCCTTGCCACTGTGCGAATGACTGCCTCGCTGCGCTGCAGGAGTCTAGACTATGTTGACGTCGCGTCGTTGTCGTCGTGGTCCTCATCGTTGTCGCCGATAAGCATACGCCAGTGTGGCATTATAATAATACGTGGCCATTATCCTTGCAACGCCGGCGATAAATCACACCAGGACATCTTTGTGTGCCACCGGCAGACATCGTTGCTCTGGAAACTGGAGCACTCATTGGCAGAGCAGGAGCGGCAGGAGCAGCGGGAGCAGACGGTCTGCCATATCATGGTCGTTGCATCGCGCGCACGCTCATAAAATGTTGCGCCCAGCGCCCCAGACGACAAATTTGCTTAGAATTTGAAATGCAAGGCAGACAATGGCACACAGGCGAGAGACGAGAGACGGCGGAAGACAGGACAGTGGGATGCGGAACGCAGGACGAGAGTACGAGCGAACAGCAGGCCAAGAGGAAATGAAAAAGTTGCTGCTCTTCCTGCTACCAAAGCGCACTTGTTATGTACACACACATACATAATTACATAAATACATACATACATACATACATACTCGTATGTATGTAAAAGTGAATTGCTGGCTAGTTGGCTTGCGTTGCACAGCAAGTTCAAGTTCATGGACTGCAACATAATGGAATGCTATGGAATGGGCTCGTAAAAGCTTAAAAACAACGACTGGCCAGGGAGTAGCATCTGTGATTTCACAGCTTATGGATTATTGTACCTTCGACTGCAGCTATTCTCAACTGTCTGAAATATCAACGATAATGAATTTCGTTTCAATGAGTTTTCGTTTTTAATGAATATCTATTCAGGCGACTGATGCGATTGGAACTACACATACTTGTACTCATGTACTCATGTACATATTAGCTTAAGTATGTTCAAAGAGCAGCTTAAGCTTCAAATATTACTTGCGAGTAAATAACTAAAAGGATATTCGATTGACCGAAGCTTGTCCATCACAGAATATCAATAGAATGCTGTTCTCAATTAAAATTTCAACAATTTCAATTTCATTTTAATAATATTTTAGAATCCATGACAATGAAAATTCATGCAACATTTAATTTGTCTACAATTGCAATATTTAATTCAATTTTTCGTACCATACACTATACTATAGATATTTCCGATTCCTCTTAACTTCTGAAAAATGTTAAAAAAAAGTTTGCTTGCCGTATTTAAAATTTTATTGAAACAAACTTTGTCTCTAAAATACATTATTTTCAAAACTAATTTAAACACTTAAATAAAATACAGGGTATTTCATGAACCAATATCTCGTTTGTTTCGTTAGAGTTATTTTTTTTTAACAATGACTCTCTATCGCTCTCTCTTCATTTTCATTTTAAGCATATTTACAAAGGATTACATAATTATGTTAAGATAAAGCTTAGTTTTGGATTTTAGCTTTTCCAAATACTTTCAAAACTTATTTAAACACTACAATAAAATACGGGGTATTTCATGAACCATTATCTCTTGTGTTTCGTTAGAGTTCATTTTCTGATCAATGATTATATCTCTCTCCCTCTTTCTCTCCTTCTCTTTCTCTCTTTTTCTCTTCCTCTCTTCATTTTCATTCTAAGCTATTTACAAAGGATTACATAAATATTTGGATGCAATGCTCAGCCTTAGCTTTTCCAAATATTTTTATACCCTGTACCCAAAGGGTATACTAGTTTTGTGCGAATGTATGTAACAGGCAGAAGGAGGCGTGGCAGACCCCACAAAGTATATATATTATTGATCAGGATGACAAGACGAGTCGATATAGCCATGTCCGTCTGCCCGCCGGTCTGTCCGTCCGTCTGTCTGTCTGTCTGTCCGTCTGTCCGTCTGTCTGTCTGTCCGTCTGTCTGTATGAACGCAAGGATCTCAAAAAGTATAAGAGCTAGAATAACCATATTTGGTATTCACATTAATCCATGTGTTTTTATAGTAGTATTCAATTTAAATAAACTCCCCAATTATAATGGAAAGGCAGTCTTAACTATACTGCTATACCCGTTTTCCAAGTGATAGAGCAGCTAAAGAGCAATGAGAATAGCTTTAGTTGGTCCAGCCATCCACTAAGGATAGTCTTTATACTTGATCCTTAGTTACATGTAGATGTCCTGCCAATAGCATTAACGAAACATTTGGCATAAGAATAGGCTTTTCCGGCTGATACGAACGCCATGCCTATCGGCTCTGTTCAGTCATCTGGCGCGTTTTCCCTCATGTGTGTTTAGTTATTTTATTGGAGGGGATGTCGCTGCATTCTCGTGTCCTTCTGCTATAAACAAACTAGGAACAGACGCGGACAAATGAAGGACGCGCCGATGAAGGACGAAGGCGTTGCTGTAGTTGGACCGGGATATGGAGACTCTAATGTGGGGGGCGTGCCTTTGGCGTTGGCGACTGTCATTTTGCATTTATTCGTGTGTAAAATTTTAATTGAAATATATTTAAGCCGGGCGCAGACAACAAACGATGCCACCGCCACACAAACGTCACACACAATGTATCTGTATCTGTGACTGTATCTGTATACGCGTATCTCGCAGATGCGCGTGTGCCGCTAATGTTTTCATTTGCATGCCGACGTTGACGGCACCGCGTTTATATGCAAATGTGTCCTGTGATTATCGACCACCACCAGGGGTATGGGAATTGGAATGCAGCCGGCTTGTCTGGGTGTTAACTGCTCGTATTCGCATACGTATTTGTTTTTGTGCGCAGATTTTGTTTGCCCATTTTTTTGCACCAACTGGCTGGGCGTGTCCCATTGTCTGGGCCCTCTGGTGTTTACATATATCTGTCGGTCTATCCGCCGTCTAGTTCTTGGCGGCAAAAAAGCAAACGCCGATAGTTCAAGAGTGTTGAAGCTAGCTTTAAAGTTAGGTGCAATTAAAAACAAAAATAAGAAGGTTTTTTTTTAAATATAATTTTTAAATTTTATTTAAAGCTAGCTTTAAAGTTAGTTGCAATTAAAAAACAAAAAACGTTAATTTTATTTTTTATATTTTATTTAAAGCCTATTTGTAAATATTATATTGTCGGCGACCTATAGACTCTTGCATGGGCGATGGCATGTTCGTTGCCATAAACTTCTCCCACTGCGCACAGGTTTGTATAGGTAGTGTCGCGATTCTGGCAGGCGCTTCCCGGTTTTCCAGATAGCTTATATAGCGGCTTGTGCTTGATCACATCTGTTGCAAATGTGCAGCAGAATAGAAAATGATTATAGTATTCGATCGAGTAGCGCAGGGCTGCGCAGCCCACATGCGTATTACGATCCATCATGAGTAAGGCCGACTGAACAACTTTACTGAAATCGTATAAAGGATTGGTATAAAAAATCATATGATTACTGGTATAAATTAAGGCAGAATAGCAGCTCAACTGACTTGAGATGAAAACTACAAGTTTCAGTTCAGTTACAGAAAACATGGCCAGTTCTTAAACAAACTTCATAGAACTCTGGCTTGTTAACATATTGAAGATCCCGGACTGATGAATAATTTCATTAATTTCTAATCATTGATGGTTTTTCTAATTTATATAGTTGGTGTTGCTAGCAGCCCTGTAATTCCCAAGCGGTTCGTGCGTGGGCGTTTAAAGAGTCGAAAGCAAAGACTGCTGATGGGGGAAGAGTTTTAGTTTTACAGACACCCTGTAATCGCTGTTTTGTATTATTTTATATTATAACAGTGATAAATAAGCTATATAATATTGTTTTTAGGTAGTATAGGCCCTAAATGCATTTCTGACCCCATTTTGTTGAAACTGGCGGCGTTTCTATCAATTTCAATTTTATAACTATATAGCGGTATTTCTAGCTGCTTTTCAATAAATTGTTAGTAGATTTTCTAGCGGTTCCATTATGGGACTTTCTATCTATTTATAGCGGTTTTGTATGCATTTTCTAGCATATACTTGTACTACCAATTTTTCTAGCAATTTATAGAGTTTTTCTAGCATTTTTCTTTCTTGCTATTTATAACTGATTTTCTAGCGAGGTTTCTAATCTGTTTCAAAGGATTTTCTATTATTTACTTTGATTTTTAGCGACTTACTCGTTTGGAAAATGATCCGGAACATAGAGTGTGGCGTCCTTATTGACGAAGGCCATTTCACTTGTCCATTTATCAATTAATTTCAACATTATTTCAAAGTTTGTGTAAATTGAAACTTTGCCGCCGTAACTAAACTGATTAATGTTGCTGCCAATGTAGTGGAAGTCTGGCGAGCTGAGACAATATTTCACATTTTCGCGACAATTCAGCACAGCCAGATGAGCCAAATATTCCAGTTCGTTGGACCAACTCATTCTGGCCATGCGTGCGGCTGGCAAATGGGAACCTATGTGGCCTCCCGCCAATTTGTTGCGCAGCTCATTGAAGACATTTAGGAGGCCATTGCGATGCTTCGACAATGGTATCGTTCTGGAGCTTGGCACGCAATCATTGCTGTAGTTCTTTAAAGGACACTCAGTTATGGCTTCTGTCGTCAAACTTTTTCAATATTTCTACTCACTCCATGGTTATTGCAGGCCAGATTTTTGGATCCACAATAGCGTTGCATGCAGTAAGAGGTCTTGTGCAGATTCCCATTCACATTCACATTGGCTGCCCATAAACAGAATATGCTGAGGAAATAGTATTTTAAGCTCTTGGCACCCATAATGCTTCGATTAGTGCTGACAACTAAACGCCAATTGGGGAATGCAACACTTTTATAGTGGAAAGCAGCGACTGCAATATGTAAGCAGATTGTGAATTGTTTTGTGGAACCAACTGAAAGCTTACCCGATTCAGCGGAAATATATACATAACTGTAAGCTATTCTGCTAGAAATAATTAGGCATTGCGTAGGTCAGATTTAATTCTAAGTAACTTAGCCAGCTGCATCGAAACCAATTGTTGGAGCTCTGCATTACTCGAGCATGATTCGATACACAGTTTCTGTATCGTGTGTCATTCGCAAAAATTATACTAACATGTTATCCGTTGTATATTATTGCGAAACTCTTCAATAATATCAATTGTGGATTTTTAGTTATTACTTCAAGTGTAAGACTAATTTAATGTTGATTTCATTTAGTCTTAACTGGATTTTAGAACTTCAAATGGGAACAGAGCTATTGCAAACTTTAGGGAAGAGCTAATCATTCCCGACAATGTAGACAAGGAAAAAACATAAGATTTTGGGACTTAGGACATAGGTTTTACATGTATAGCCTATCAGGGGAAGGTCAATTCGTTGAATAATTGCGAAACACTGAACATAAATGCCTACCCATTTCCCTAGCTTTTAAGTTACCTTCAGGAAATATAGAGATCAGTGTCTTTATATTGTCAATTTCCAGTTGCTCCTCTCTCCTCTCAGTTCTTGGTGGATCTCCAAATCCAACCAACCAATTTATATGCATATATTTAACCTGATTGTTTACTCCTTTTACTGAAACTTGTTTAGACAGTGTTTGGGCGTTATCCCAAATAATTTAGATATCGAAATAATTTATACAGTTCAACTCTTTTCACAAAAAGCAACGCACTTTCAAAAAATCATGTGTCTCTGTCCATAATTATATAGTAAGTATATCTTGTCCAGCGCACTGTCCTTCTTTCTTTAAGATCTAAGGACTTCTATTTCAATCTTCAGTTACGATGATCGTAAACATTTCTTAAGCCTGCCTGAGAAGTGAAATATTTTTGTTTGGTTAATCCATGCTAGACCCAAAGCTGTGCCTTATTAAAGGCGTATTTGGAGTGACACAGTGAATCCAGATGCAGTAAAGCTCATTAGAAGTGGCATCTGAAACCGCAAGAAGACAAAAACAAAAAGGCTGACGCGTGTGGCTGCCGGCTGATACTTACAACCACCTTTTCTGTAACTGCCGGGCTGTCTGCACTTAACGCTTCGCATGGCATAGAATTTTTATACAAAAAATTGTTTTTTGAAATTAATGAAGAGCTCTCGCCGCATGCCGGGGGTGTGCCAGTCAGTGTGTGTGTGTGTGTGTGGGGGTCCGTAAGCTCGGTGTTGAGGTGTTAAACACTCCAGACAAAAATGTAAATGCCTTGGGGTGACCGCGTTTTTAATGCTAGCCAAGTGGGCACGGTGTTGACCCAGGTTAGCGGGGCCGGCAATGAATGTCATTTGGATTTGCGTTGGATAAGTTTTTAATTTATTGTGCAAATAACAATGCTACCCGATGCTTCCTAGTGCTAAAGGTAAGTAGATATTCCTATTGTTTAACGCGCTTATCTGAACGAACCCATCGGTTCATTTGGGAGGAGCACGTGCTGCGTCTCGTTCATCGCCTTGGCGTGCCCTTAGGTGTTGGGGGTAGGTTATATCCGCCTCTGGGCACTGAAGCGTGCTAGTCGACCTTAATGATGTTCCCTTTCGCGCTAGTCCAAACGAAGCATGCTGGTGTCAGTGCCAGCGTGGAGAGCCAATAATTCGGGTGTCATAGGAGCATTTAACGTTACCCAGGACCTGGGTACCTTAGCATCATCACGCGCCGATTGCAGAGCCTGCTGCAGGGCGAAAGCAACGGATATGCCGAGACAAATAGCTGGCTCTCCACTTGCTATACAAAAAGAAAAGTTCGTAATAAAGCTGTTTCAAATTTACAGATGCTTTAAAGTACTCACCCTTAGATCTCATGAAGCCGGCCTTATTTGAACTGTTCGGTAGCAGTTCGATACGCAAATCAATGGGTATATCCTTGGGACCTGGTGGCTTGTAGTTCCATGTGCGATTTGTCAAACATTCGCCTGTTTTCTTGTCCACCACTATTTGTTCGCTGGTCCAATAACCCAGGCCCATCATGAAGGCTCCCTCGATTTGGCCAATGTCAACACTGGGGTTCAAACTCTCGCCCGTATCTTGCAGTAAGTCCACTCGAGTAACCAAATAGTTACCGGTAAGAACGTCTAGCTCCACCTCGTTAAGACACAAGGCGCAGACAGAATAGGGATCCATGTCGTCCTGCTTACACTGGTCGCTAGCGATTAGATTGATCTTGCGATTGTATGCTTCAGTAATGAGCTGCTGCCAGTCCTGTGGCTTCAACTCTTCGCGTATAGGCGCTAACCGTTCGTTTATGGTTTCGCAGCATTTTCGTACGGCATAGCAGACGGTCTCACTGCCTATAGAACCACCAGTTACCATGGCGTTGGCGCCGTTTATTGAATCGCTGCCCTCAATCCGCACCTGCTCCATCGGAATGCCAAGGGCATGGGCAGCAACCTGGGCGATCTTGGTGTTCATGCCTAAAAACAGCAAGTAATAGAGACGAGGATAAAGCAAGATAAGCAAGAGAGAATGCTACAGACGATCAACCCCGACAGTGAAATACCCTGTACCCTAACAAATTTCCGCCGCTTAGTAATATTTACCCACAGCAGAAGCAATAAGAATAAGCGGAAGACTGCACCCACTCCAGCAGTTTGTGGGGTAGAACTAATTCGCTAATAACTTTTCTTAGAAATGACCGATTTGGATGAAAAAGTATTAATGAAATTCTGTTGGGGGGTGGTGAAATTAGAAAAAATAAGTTCTTGTTTCCTGAATATTAGGAAAGCCTACATACCAAGTTTGATGAATGTGGGTTAGGCCTTCTCCGTAATACAGACGTTCATCCAGACAGACGCACATTGATATGTTGACTAATCTCGTCATATATATACTTTATGGGGTTGGAGTTACTTACTTTTCCCTCGGGTGAGGGTAAAAAAAAAATGAAGACTTACCTTGCCCCATTTCAATGCCGCCGTGCGAGACAACCACAGTTCCATCGCTATGGTAAATAGCCACAGTGGCTGGAAACTGGCCGAAATAACCCATCTGATATTCCATGATGCACAAGCCGAGACCACGCTTGCGCCAACGATGCTCCTTGTTGTAGGCAATAATCTCAGCACGACGCAAACTATATTTGTTTCTGTCCAGAAAACGAGGCATAATGTCGCCCATTTTGTGACCTGGCAACAAATTAGCGTATCGGATATCAGCCGGATCTAGGCCTGTCTCAAATGCAATATGTTCTATAATGTTCTCCATCATAGCAATGCCTTCCACGGAGCCAGGGGCGCGACAAGGCGTATTGCTGGGCGAATCTGTAAACACCATATAACCATCCAATTTGTAGTTGTCACTGAATTCGTAGCAATTCTTTGACAACAGAACTGTATGGCCAATAGGCGATTCGTTCGGTGAATAGCCAGCATCTTCATAAAAGCGACTGTGCAGACGATGCGACGCGTCTTAACCTGCACCTCATTGCTGCGCATATTTAGAACATTGGCAATAATATCTTGGGTCAGGTCCATCCATTGGGTGGCCGCATAGACCTGCAAACCGCCCTCGAAAGGCAACACCACGGTGGTATGAGGCTCCATTGTGAAATGATATTGCAAGCCCATATCCAGTTCTCCGCTGCCCGTTACATCGTAGGGATCCACAAGCTCCAATTTGTCGAGCATAGATTTACATTTTTGCTCGAAACGAGCGCCACTAGCATCCTTCGAGCTCTTCAGGACATCGTTTAAGCTTGGGAGCAGTTCCACTTGCTCGCCACCTTCATAGGACACTTGAACCAGGTCGGCTGCTCTTTGGGCCAAGGCATTTGAATCGGCCAGTATCACGCCAATCGGTTGATGATAGAATTTTATTGTTCCAGTGGCAAATAGTTGTTCCTCTTCTTTAAAGAAATGGGCATCTTTCAACTTGGGCCCCAGCACATTAACACCGGGAATGTCCTTGGCATCGAAATAGGCCACAACTCCGGGCAATTCCAAAGCAGGTGTGACGTCAATTTTGCTGACCTGGGCGCCGACTTTCTTTGCTGTAACAAATGCTGCCCACAACTGATTGTGTTGAGTGGGTAAGTCATTCACATAGGTAGCCTCTCCGGAGCACTGTATGAGTCCCTCGTGCTTTACGGTGGGCTTTGAAATTGGATAGTTCTTCTCAAAGGTCTCGAAACTTTGCTGGCCAGTGGATACGGGTCTTTTAAGGAGTGAAGCACCCGTGATATAGCGACTGGACAACTTCGACTGAGGCGCGCTCTTCAGCACAAACTTGTAGAAAAGCGAGTAAGCCAGTTGCTGGCGATAAGCGGGATTGGCATCGGGTGGCACGTAGTCCGCTTCCAGCGAAGACTTCAATGATTGGTAAATCGAAGCTTGTAACCCTTTGTCATGGAGTTCTTTGCCAATAAGTAACTGCTCCAGCTCCTTGGCATGTGTATAGTTCGGGTTTATGCCACCGAAGCAAATGCGTGCGGTCTGAACTCGTTGCTTCTTGGCGTCTAGACCAACCAGGAAAGCTGCATTCACATAGGCATGGGCGTTTTGGGCGCGAGGCATTATCTGTAAGATAATTTATAATATAGTTTCGATAAATCTTAATTAACTGTGTATCACACAACAGAAACACTTTACCTTGTAAGAATCGTAGAGGTATAGGCCTTTGTCATATGCGCGTAATACAAAGCCCGTGATTAGTTTGCCTTGCATTGGCATTTGCAAGTAGTTGGACAGGCTGACAATTTGTTGTTCTTTCGTTGATTGCTGAACTATCACCTTAACATCTAAGGCTTCGAAAGCAATGTAAATATCGGAGGGGAACTCGGGCCGCGAATGCTTAATAGATAAATTTCCCGCGAGGGTGCCGGCCTACATATGTGAAAATGAGTGTTATTATAACAACAAATGATGTGTCAGATTAGATACCCCAAATGCTGGAGCCATCGTCTTATCGCAAAGTACTGATAACACAAGTGGATAATCACTTTAAAGTTATTATTTTACTTACATTGCGCACAGGTACATTGGCAATCCAATCCAGGTGTTGCCACAACTGCGCCAAATACTCGAAGCCCGCTGTTTTCTGCAGCTCCCGACAAATTTGCATTGTCTCGGTAAGGCTGAGGTTGGCGCCCAACGTCAGAATCTGCTCGCTGAGTCTGTAACTCTTCAGCTCACTCACAGAATTCACATCAATGAAGGCCTTAATGTTATCGCTGCGTCTGTACACGCCGTGGGCGGTGTTACCAGCAACCAACATATAGGGTATGTCCTGGGGAATGCTGGCTAGAGCCTCAAATACCTGTGCAAGAGTGTGAGGCCAATACCACGAATATCCGTCAGCAAAGCTTTGAGTAAGCAAATGCACGCCATTCTGCTGAGCTTCCTTGCAGGCGCCGCTGCAGTTGGCGCCCGTCTTGGGGCACAGTTTCGACGCCAAGTCCTCAATGTCGGCGCACTCGGCCGGTACGGCGATGTTGCTGTCCACAGCGAAGGATTTCATGGCATCCAGAATGGGACGATAGCCGGTGCAACGACAGATGTTGCCTCCGAAAGAGTTCTCCACCTCCTCCATGGTCACCTTGCCACCATTTGCCTTGAGCAGCGCATACATATTCATCACAATTCCAGGCGAGCAGTAGCCACACTGGGTGCCATTCATTTTGGCCAGTCTCTCCTGTATCGGATGATAGCCGGTGCGTTTATTGCCCAAACCCTCCGAGGTAGTCACCTCCAGGCCCACACACGTATTCAACAAAGTCAAACATGAGTTGACCGCCCAGGTGCGCTGCTCCCCAGTAGCGGGATGTCTGCCGGTTACGGCGCACACACAAACACCACAGCCCCCCTCCTGGCACATGAACTTGGTGCCTGTAAGTCCTGCATGCTCGCGAATGAAAGTGTTCAGGGTGATGTCCGCGGGCAGCTTTGTGACATTCACTAAGGGCATATAGTTTTCAATTAATTCCAACGCAATTAAATACCGCACTCTACACTTACCCTCGTAGCTGGTGCCGTTAATAATTATACTCGATGACATTATCAATATTTTATGTAACGCTAAGAAAAAGAATGTTTTCCAAACATGCGCCTTCCATGCCAAGCTCAGAACTACTGTAGTCAACAGTTAGTCGGCTCGCCAATTTGTTTTCTGTGCCCAGAACTACTCGTCTATGTATAGTTATCGCCAATTTTCGAGCACTCCACTCTTCGCTGTTAACATTTAGCTGAGTATGAACTGATTAGATCATCGTCTCAGTCACAAACTAATGCGCTCTTTTCTGGACCGAACTCTTATTCTATCTCTCTCTCCCTATCTGTCTATCTCTTGCTACTCAGTTATAACAGCAAGCTTTTTAGGTATACAAGTATGTTTTGATTTTAGTTTTGAATGAAGCATTGCGTTTCAAATGCCGGCGACTGGTTTCGTGTGTTAAAGTTTAATTCAAAAATTTACAGCGAGTTCGTTTTCACAATTTGCATTAATAGCTGCCACAGTGGGGCTGGATTAATGTGAATACATTTTTTTTTACAGTTGGTTTGGTGTACAGTGAGTAAATAAAGTGAGAGCAGAGTAGTTTGGATTTGTGTGTGATACTCCTCACCATATTATGGTTGGTTGATCTGTGCTAGATCGGGGGCTGGATACATTTCGTGGTGGATGAACTTATCCAACTGTGTCTTTAAATGTCTGCAATGTGTCAGAAGTTTTTAGCACACGCAGATTGTGGTGTGCTCTGTAAATATGTATGTGAATACAAAATAATTGCATTCAATCATAAAACTAATGAAAAAGCAAAATTTAGAGAACTCGTATTTGTGAATAAATGTACTATATTGATTTAGTTTGGACCATATTATAAAACAAGTAGTTAAACGACTAAAGCCTTCAGCTAATTAACGGTCTTCTCCAAATGAAGCCATTGGTAAAAGTGGCCTTCATGATATCCCTTCCGCACTAGTCTAATTGAAGCATGCTCATGTCAGTGCCAGCGTGGAGAACCAATAATTCGGGTGTCATAGGAGCATTTAACGTTACCCAGGACCTGGGTACCTTAGCATCATCACGCGCCGATTGCAGAGCCTGCTGCAAGGCGAAAGCAACGGATATGGAAAGACAAATAGCTGGCTCTCCAGTTGCTGCAACACAGAAACAAATTAGTATTGAAACAGCTTCCAATTTACAGATTCTTTAAGGTCCTTACCCTTAGATCTCATGAAGCCCGCCTTATTCGGGCTATTTGGCAGCAGTTCGATACGCAAATCAATGGGTATATCCTTGGCACCTGGTGGCTTGTAGTTCCATGTGCGATTTGTCAAACATTCGCCTGTTTTCTTGTCCACCACTATTTGTTCGCTGGTCCAATAACCCAGGCCCATCATGAAGGCTCCCTCGATTTGGCCAATGTCAACATTGGGGTTCAAACTCTCGCCCGTATCTTCTAGCAGGTCCACTCGAGTAATCAAATAGTTACCGGTAAGAACGTCTAGTTCCACCTCGTTAAGGCACAATCCACAGACGGAATAGGGATCCATGTCGCCCTGCTTACACTGATCGCTAACAATTAAGTTTATCTTGCGATTGTATGCCTCAGTAATGAGCTGTTGCCAGTCCTGTGGCTTCACCTCTTCGCGTATAGGCGCTAACCGTTCGTTCAGAGTCTCGCAACATCTGCGCACGGCAAAGCAGAGAGTCTCGCTGCCTACAGCACCTCCAGTTACCATGGCGTTGGCGCCGTTTATTGAATCGCTGCCCTCAATCCGCACCTGCTCCAACGGAATGCCTAGTGTATGGGCAACAACTTGGGCGATCTTGGTGTTCATGCCTGGAAAGCAAAAACAATGAGAGAGGAGCATAAGGCTTTAAAAGAAATTAAGACTTACCTTGCCCCATTTCAATGCCGCCGTGCGAGACAACCACAGTTCCATCGCTATGGTAAATAGCCACAGTGGCTGGATACTGGCCGAAATAGCCAATTTGATATTCCATGATGCACAAGCCGAGACCACGCTTGCGCCAACGGTGCTCCTTGTTGTAGGCAATAATCTCAGCACGACGTTCGCGGTATTTGGTGCTCTCAAGGAAACGTGGCATCATGTCGCCCATTTTATGAGCGGGCAACAAATTGGCGTAGCGGACATCAGCCGGATCTAGGCCTGTCTCAAATGCAATATGTTCTATAATGTTCTCCATCATAGCAATGCCTTCCACGGAGCCAGGGGCACGACAAGGCGTATTGCTGGGCGAATCCGTAAGCACGAGATAACCGTCCAACTTGAAGTTGTCACTAAACTCGTAGCAATTCTTTGACAACAGAACTGTATGGCCAATAGGCGATTCGTTCGATAAATAGCCAGCATCTTCATAAAAGAGACTGTGCAGACCAACAATTTTTCCTGTTCGTTGCACGTAGAAATCATAATCGCAGTGGAAGGCCCATCGTTTTCCCAGTGTGTTCATAATGGACTCCAAAGACTGTACGAACCGGACTGGACGATTCAATTTATAGGCTGCTAGAGCTGCTGCCGCAGCAGCCATGTTGCAACGTGTAGCCTTGCCACCATAGCCGCCTCCGATGCGACGCGTCTTAACCTGCACCTCATTGCTGCGCAAATTTAGAACATTGGCAATGAGATCTTGAGACAGGTCCATCCATTGGGTGGCTACGTAGACCTGCAAGCCACCCTCGAAAGGTAACACCACGGTGGTCTGAGGCTCCATGTAGAAATGATATTGCAAGCCCATATCCAGTTCTCCGCTGCCCGTTACATCGTAGGGATCCACAAGCTCCAATTTGTCGAGCATAGATTTACATTTTTGCTCGAAACGAGCGCCACTAGCATCCTTCGAGCTCTTCAGGACATCGTTTAAGCTTGGGAGCAGTTCCACTTGCTCGCCACCTTCATAGGACACTTGAACCAGGTCGGCTGCTCTTTGGGCCAAGGCATTTGAATCGGCCAGTATCACGCCAATCGGTTGATGATAGAATTTTATTGTTCCAGTGGCAAATAGTTGTTCCTCTTCTTTAAAGAAATGGGCATCTTTCAACTTAGGCCCCAGCACATTAACACCGGGAATGTCCTTGGCATCGAAATAGGCCACAACTCCGGGCAATTCCAAAGCAGGTGTGGCATCAATTTTGCTGACTTGAGCGCCGACTTTCTTTGCTGTAACAAATGCTGCCCACAACTGATTGTGTTGAGTGGGTAAGTCATTCACATAGGTAGCCTCTCCGGAGCACTGTATGAGTCCCTCGTGCTTTACGGTGGGCTTTGAAATTGGATAGTTCTTCTCAAAGGTCTCGAAACTTTGCTGGCCAGTGGATACGGGTCTTTTAAGGAGTGAAGCACCCGTGATATAGCGACTGGACAACTTCGACTGAGGCGCGCTCTTCAGCACAAACTTGTAGAAAAGCGAGTAAGCCAGTTGCTGGCGATAAGCGGGATTGGCATCGGGTGGCACGTAGTCCGCTTCCAGCGAAGACTTCAATGATTGGTAAATCGAAGCTTGTAACCCTTTGTCATGGAGTTCTTTGCCAATAAGTAACTGCTCCAGCTCCTTGGCATGTGTATAGTTCGGGTTTATGCCACCGAAGCAAATGCGTGCGGTCTGAACTCGTTGCTTCTTGGCGTCTAGACCAACCAGGAAAGCTGCATTCACATAGGCATGGGCGTTTTGGGCGCGAGGCATTATCTGTAAGATAATTTATAATATAGTTTCGATAAATCTTAATTAACTGTGTATCACACAACAGAAATACTTTACCTTGTAAGAATCGTAGAGGTATAGGCCTTTGTCATATGCGCGCAATACAAAGCCCGCGATTAGTTTGCCTTGCATTGGCATTTGCAAGTAGTTGGACAGGCTGACAATTTGTTGTTCTTTCGCTGATTGCTGAACTATCACCTTGACATCTAAGGCTTCGAAAGCAATATAAATATCGGAGGGGAACTCGGGCCGCGAATGCTTGATAGATAAATTTCCCGCGAGGGTGCCGGCCTACATATGTGAAAATGAGTGTTATTATAACAACAAATGATGTGTCAGATTAGATACCCCAAATGCTGGAGCCATCGTCTTATCGCAAAGTACTGATAACACAAGTGGATAATCACTTTAAAGTTATTATTTTACTTACATTGCGCACAGGTACATTGGCAATCCAATCCAGGTGTTGCCACAACTGCGCCAAATACTCGAAGCCCGCTGTTTTCTGCAGCTCCCGACAAATTTGCATTGTCTCGGTAAGGCTGAGGTTGGCGCCCAACGTCAGAATCTGCTCGCTGAGTCTGTAACTCTTCAGCTCACTCACAGAATTCACATCAATGAAGGCCTTAATGTTATCGCTGCGTCTGTACACGCCGTGGGCGGTGTTACCAGCAACCAACATATAGGGTATGTCCTGGGGAATGCTGGCTAGAGCCTCAAATACCTGTGCAAGAGTGTGAGGCCAATACCACGAATATCCGTCAGCAAAGCTTTGAGTAAGCAAATGCACGCCATTCTGCTGAGCTTCCTTGCAGGCGCCGCTGCAGTTGGCGCCCGTCTTGGGGCACAGTTTCGACGCCAAGTCCTCAATGTCGGCGCACTCGGCCGGTACGGCGATGTTGCTGTCCACAGCGAAGGATTTCATGGCATCCAGAATGGGACGATAGCCGGTGCAACGACAGATGTTGCCTCCGAAAGAGTTCTCCACCTCCTCCATGGTCACCTTGCCACCATTTGCCTTGAGCAGCGCATACATATTCATCACAATTCCAGGCGAGCAGTAGCCACACTGGGTGCCATTCATTTTGGCCAGTCTCTCCTGTATCGGATGATAGCCGGTGCGTTTATTGCCCAAACCCTCCGAGGTAGTCACCTCCAGGCCCACACACGTATTCAACAAAGTCAAACATGAGTTGACCGCCCAGGTGCGCTGCTCCCCAGTAGCGGGATGTCTGCCGGTTACGGCGCACACACAAACACCACAGCCCCCCTCCTGGCACATGAACTTGGTGCCTGTAAGTCCTGCATGCTCGCGAATGAAAGTGTTCAGTGTGATGTCCGCTGGCAACGTTGTGAAATTCACTAACGGCATGAGGAATTTTCAATTATTTCATTATATTTCGAAATTAGGCATCGCCCTCCACTCTTACCCTCGTAGCTGGTGCCGTTAATACTTATACTCGATGACATTATCAAGATCTTATATAACGCACTGTTAAATAGTTCTAACGCTGGTTACTTTGTGGAATGAATTTAACAATATTTTCTGAACGTGCGCCTTTCACGCCAAGTTCAGTACTACTGCAGTCCACAGTCAGGCGGTGCTTGCCTTTATTGACTGCCCCCAGAACTACTCGAAGTATTATAGATATCGCTAATGTTCGGATACTCCACTCTTTCCTGTAAACAATTAGTTGAGTAGCTAATCGGTTCATGATTCCACTCACAAATTTGGGAGCTCTCTTATCTGCTCCATGCTCTCTCTCTCTCTCTCTCTCTCTCTGCCTCTAATTTTCCCTCTCTCCCTAGTGCGACTCAGATATCACAGTAAGCTTTTCAGTATTTGTTTTGATTTCGATTCTAAACAAAGCGTCAAAATTCGCCGATGTCACGGTGAGAATCAGACATAGGTGCTGATATGTATGTATTAAGTATGTACATATGTACAAACATGTATATACATGGCGTGTAGATTGCCGGCGACTGGTTTCGCGTGAATACAAAACAGTTCAAAGCGGTTATGTCTTCGCAATTTGCGTTAATTGCTGCCACAGTGGGTCTAGATTAGTGTTAAAAGGTTGTTTTTTCTGATAGTCAGGTGAACAATAAGTAAAGGAAGTACGAGAAGAGTGGTTTTCCATATTAAGCAATCTTTAGATATGTCTTTGAAGTCTTCGAATATTCCCATATGCTGGTGTACTTTGTGAATAAGTTAATAGGTAGAATGATCTTTAATCAGTATGAGTATTTTTATATATTTATAAACATGTATTATAATTATCGTGCTGAGAATAGGCCAGCAGCTTAGGCCATAAAACAATAGTTAGAGATTTATTTGAGTGACCACTTCTCCAGTTTTTATTTTGTAATACTGCAAGTAATTTCAAATCATCAAAAAATTCTAAATTTGAATACATATGCTATTAGTTACAATTCTGTGGGCACGGTGGTACAATAGGAATGCTCCAAAGTAATGGGCTATATTTTTGAGTATTTCGGTTAGATATATTCTTTCAATCAATGTCCTCTTCAGCTTTTGTTTTGGTTTGTTGTCTTGTATTTAAGTGGAAAGTTTAGATTTGAATCTGCCGAATTGGGATTTGAAGTCATTATCAACGGCATGGTATTGTTGGTTTATCGGTTAGAGTGTTCCCTTTTTTCCCTTTTCCACTATCCGAAAATTCGAACTTATGTATTAATTGTATTGTTTAATATTCTTATTGACATGCCTATCATCTTGTTGGGAAAAAACCATGGACGTTTTGCATGTAGTAGTTCCTGAGGCAGGTGTAATATATTTGGAAGTGTTTTTTTGAAAGAACGTTAACCTTTTTTTATTTCAATTGATAAATCATATTATTAATGTGTGTCAAGTAAAAATTCGTAGGCGTATAGGCGTATTGCTGCCATAAAAGTTGTATCTGGAGCTAAACAGAAATCATCAGTGTTTTATATATATGCCACTAAATTAAATTGATTTAAGGAAACTCATATACATGCTACCTAAATTAGAGAATTTGTTGCATAAAGTTCATTGAAAGGGGTCAGAAATGTGTGTAATTCTTTGAAATAGTTCCTGAATCACTGTAGTATGTTACGTAAGACACCCAAACACCTGTTGTACTTACTATATATTGCCAGTTGTAAATAATGACAGTTTAGGTCTATTTCAATGCAAAGCGCTGCACCTCTGTGCCAGCATTCAATACGACTGTCTCCGGTGTAGTGGGCGCGCCTAGTCGAACCCATTCTCTGGGCAGTCCGGCATCATCGCGTGCCGATTGTAGCGCGTGTTGCATGGCGAAAAGTACGCCCACAGATAGACAGAAGGCTGGCTCCCCGGTTGCCTTGGAACGCATAAACCCCACCGGGTTGGGGTTCTTTTGCAGCAGCTCTATGCGAAAGTCAATTGGTATGTCTTTGGCGCCCGGTGGGTGATAGTTCCAGGTGCGATTCGTCAAAAGCCGTCCCGTTTGGCGATCGTAAAGCAACAGCTCGTTCAGATAGTAGCCCAAGCCCATGACAAAGGCACCCTCCACCTGGCCCACGTCGATGTTTGGACTGAGACTCTCCCCAGCATCCTCCAGTATGTCGACGCGTCGAATCAAATGGTTGCCCGTCAAGATGTCCACCTCAAGTTCGGTGAGACACAGACCATAGATGTTGTAATTGGGTATATCCCCAACTTTATACGAATCGGTGGCAATAAGAAGAATGGATTGTGTCCAAGCACGCTCCACAATCTGTTTCCAGGTGGCATTGGGGCCCAACGCCTGCCTCACGGGCTGAAGCCGCTTATTTAAAGTGTCACAGGCTTTACGTACGGCCAGACCAATCATCTCGCTGGCCATGGAATTAGCAGTTACCATGGCATTGGCTCCATTCACAGTGTTGCTGCTCTCAATGCGCACCTTCTCGAGGGGCAGGCCCAGAGTAAAGGCTGCCACCTGTGCTGCTTTCGTATTGATTCCCTGTCCGATCTCAATGCCACCATGCGTGATGACCACAGAGCCATCTGAATGATAAATGGAAACAGTGGTTGGATAACTGTAACCAATAGAGGTGGCCAAAGGGAACTCCATTAGTGATAGGCCAATACCACGTTTGCGCCAACGATTCTGTGCATTGAACGCATTAATATCGTGTCGCCGCTGGCGGTACTCTGTGGAGGCTAGGAATCGCGGCAATAGCTGCACCATTTTGTTCCCCGGCCGCAGGTTTACTAAACGCACATCGGCTGGATCCAGCTTACTGGCAAAGGCAATATGCTCCAACTGAACCTCTGCCATCGCAATGCCTGCGGAAGAGGGAAATGAGAGCTTTGAGGCGCAGAAAGATTACTGGCTTGGCTTACCCTCTGCTGTGCCCGGTGCGCGACACCATGTGGAGCTCGGCGCATCTGTGACGACGGCGCTGCCATTGACCTTGAAGTTGGTGGCGTTCAAATTGTAGACGTTCCTCACGGCTGGCATGGTCAAGAAGTCGACCACATTCTCATTCAGCGAACAGCCTGCATCCTCGTAGAAGTTATTGTTGAGCATACTTATGGCACCACTAGCTCGCACCACAAAGTCGTAGTCGGATCGGCAGGCATAGCGCTTGCCATTGCACTCCATCATGGACTCAATGGTTTGCACAAAGCGTGCAGGTCTGTTCAGCTTATGGGCCACTAGAGCGGCAGCACAGGCCACCTGGTTACAACGGGTGACCTTGGCTCCGTAGGCGCCACCCACTCGGCGCACCTGCAACTGCACCAAGCTGGCGTCAAGTTGCAGCATAGCCGCAATACTATATTGCGTTAAATCCATCCATTGAGTGGCGCACCAGACCTGAAGGCCCTGCTCAAAGGGCACTACAATCGTGGTTTGTGGTTCCATGGTGAAGTGGTACTGCGATTCCAGCTCCAGGATGCCGCGTCCCATAACATCGCCAGGTGCCAATGGGACCTTCAATGTCGAATTTTCTCCATTACTTTTATTCATTTGCACAATTCGTGAACTCTCTCCCGAAGCCAATACTTGATTCATGCTCGTTAGGATGGGCTTCTTCTGTTCATTGGCATAAGTCACCTGGACCAGAGTGGCGGCATAGACAGCCAAGTCATGGTTAACTGCTGCTATAACGCCCAAGGGCTGATCATAGTGCTTGACTCTGCCCGAACAGAACACCTCCTCCGGCTCCACAACTAACACACTGGCATTATTAAAATTGTTCACACCGGGTATATCTTTGGCGGCGTAGAAGGCGACCACGCCCTTGCACCTGAGAGCGGGGGTGGGGTCGATTTGCTCGATAGTGGCGCCCACACGTTTGGCAGTCACAAAGGCGCAGTGCACGGCATTACTTGTGGTCAAGAGATCGTTCATGTACGGCGCTTCGCCGGAGCACTGAATTAGACCTAATAATTAGGAACCCTACAGATCATTCTTATTTAGATTTAACTCTTAATTACTTACCCTCTAGCTTCTGCACGGGCTGCGTTACGGGATAGTTTTTGCTAATCGTTTCAAATGTTTGACTGCCCGAGGAGAGGGGCCGCTCTAGCAGCAGTCCCCCACTTCTTTTCTGCTTTTTTACCAACTCCTCGGGAGCAGACCACAGTAAGAACTTGTAGAACAGGGAGCAGGCCAGTTTGTGTCGATATTCCGGCGATGCTTCCGGTGGCATTTCGACCACTTGCAAGCTGGCTTCCAGACGCTCAAACGCTTCAGATACAGTGGCGGCATCATATAAATCTCGGCCCACTAGCAAGCTCTCTACTTCTACCGCATGCACAAAACTCGGACTCAAATTTCCGAAACATATACGCGCCGATTGCACAATATGGTGTTGATCGTCATTCCACTCGATCAGGAATCCAGCATTCACATAGGCGTGCACATTTTGGGCGCGGGGCAGTATCTATTGGGTGTTATCAAAATTGCCTGAGGATAGGAACTTAACATTTGGCTTACCTTATACGTATTGAAAAGGTATTTGGTCGTCGGATAGGGCCTTAATAGGAATCCCCCAATAACCAGATTCGGTGTAGTGTCATGTAAATAATCCAGTAGTGTGAGGACACGTTGTGCTCCCGGATGCTCGTGCACCAGAACATGGGCGTCGAGGGTCTCGAAAGTGATGAAAATATCGGAAGCAAAGTGGGGGTACTGTTTCTTGGTGCTTATGTTGCCCGCCAATGTGCCGTTCTAAGGAAATGTGATTGCACATGAAAAAAGCAATAGAAACAAATACCAATATAATTATATTCCAATTGTAGAGATAAAGCTCCTTACTTTTAATTGCTATTAAACAAACAATCACCAGGAATATATGCTAGGTTCAACTAAAGTTCTTCCACTTGGAATTCTTTTAATGCTAACAAGGAGCAGGAGGAGGAAGCGACTAAAATGATGTCACTTTAAATAACATCTCCTACATTTAAAAAATCGTTTTTAAAATAAAAACAAATTTTGTTTTGTGAAATTTTCTTTCTAAAAACCAATATACTTCCATATAATAAACTGTTTGTTCCCTGGAATTTAAAAGTAGTGATATAGTTTCTACATAGAAACTACAGAAATTGTTCTATACTGAATTAAGTTTGAAATATTATTTGTTTTGTATTTAACCAGTTTTTATTTTTGAAAAACCAATGCCATATAAGTTCTTGTTGATTGATTCAGTTTACAATAAACAATCATTCCCCGCTAGCTTCTAGTTTTTCGAGTCAAATGGAACGGAAAATTTCGCGTTAAATTTAAACAACAATTTCTAATACCTGGCGTATTTCTTAATTTAGGAAACCTGTTTTCTAAAAAGTTGAAATTAAGGCTGGTATTTCAGACAATTATTTCGTTTGTTGCTGAGTGTAAAAACTTTGATAATTAATATTTAGTTAGTCTGCCTCGTGTTGTCCAGTGTAGCGAAATCAAATTGCGGCATTTCTAAAGCGAAAGTAAAGTGTTTTTTTTATAATCCTAACACACGATATCATCAAACGAGTTTCACAGCTAGCTTGACGATTTATGGCCTTAAACCGCCACAACTCTACTTACATTTCGAACTGGCAGATTGGCAATCAGGTTGAAATGCTGCCACAGCTGTGCACAATACTCGAAACCGGCGCGCTGCTCCGCCAGTCGAAAGATCTCCATCGTTTCTGTCAGCGTTAGATTGGCGCCCAGCAGTATGTGGTCCGATTCGATGCTGTATTGCTTTAACTCGGGCACATTGTTTACATCTATGAAGTGCTTGATGTCTCGCGAACGCCGATAGGCGCCATGCGCCGTATTGCCGGAGACTAAGATGTACAACTCATTGCTGCTCACTTGGCTCAGTGCGGTGAAGAGGTCCGCCAAAGATTTGGGCCAATGCCAGTGGCTGTCGTTTTGAGTGCTCAGTGTGGCTCGCGAGCAACCACCGCTGCCACACTGACCCGTGCGGGGGCACAGCAACTCGAAGGAGTCCTCAATGTCTACACACTCCCCGGGTACGGAAATGGTGCTGTCCGTGGCAAAGGATTTCATGGCATCTAGAATGGGGCGATAGCCGGTGCAACGACATATGTTGCCACCAAAAGCATCCTCCACCTCGGCCATTGTGACGTGGCCAGCTTTGGACTCCAGCAATCCGTACATGTTCATCACAAATCCCGGCGAACAAAAGCCACACTGTGTGCCATTCATTTTGGCCAGACGCTTTTGTATGGGATGGTAGCCACTGCCTTTATTCCCCAATCCCTCATCGGTCACGATATCCACATCGTCGCAGGTGTTGAGCAATGTGAGGCACTAGAATCGAAATATTCCACTCAACTCAGAGCGTTCTTCACTGCCAGCTCCACACTACTCACCGAGTTGGCTGCCCGCGTATGCACTTCCCCGGTCGTGGGATTCCGACGTCTTATCACACAGACACAGACGCCACAGCCCCCCTCCAGGCACATGAATTTGGTGGCCGTCAGGTGCAGATGTTCACGCAGAAAGGTGTTCAGCGTTATGTCCGCTGGAAAATCGGACGGCTGCACCTCGTAGGGAAAGCCATTGACGTTGAATTTGATGCTCATGCTGGTAGAGTTGGCAGCGAAATGCCGAGGCCTTGAAATTGCGCTTCTATTTTAAGCGAACATTCAAACTTGATTACCGCTAATTAGGCTAAACGGGTTGCAAAGATAAATGCGAAATTGCAAGCCAAAACAACCAACACTGAACAAAATGTTCGACCAGCTTTTCGCTTAGTTAATTGCAATGGATTAAGAGTTCGAGATTTAAGACAGTAGAGTGCATAATTAATCGCCCACATTTATGTACTCTGCAAAGCGACATACATTGACGGAACTTTTAAATTTGAGAAGAAAATTTGTTTTTTCTTTGCTTATCTAGATCGCTCCGTACGATTAGTACGGTTAGTTTCACCAATTTACTTAATCCAGATATTCCGCGCGACCTGCAAAATCGTACATATGTAAATAAAGATTTTACTGGTTAAAGTGTTAAACAAAATGTTCAAAATGTTCGTGTACAACCAAATTTGAACGACCCATTAGATTAGATTACTTGTGAAGAAGAAGACAAAACATCTACTTGCCAACTTGACAATCTAAATAATACAAATACGAGTATAAGGAATTTAAATATCAATACAAATTCCCCCTACAAATGGGCTTTAAACAGTTAACCCTAAAGATATTCATTAAAGTAATATTATATCTAAAAAAAAGAAGCAATTTTCTACAGTTAAAAAAAGAGGTCCCAAAATTTTACGTTTCCCATATGCTACAAACAAATAAAGAACATTTTACCACAGACTGGGCGCCCACTGTAGTTGAATTGTTTCTTAGCCCTGACATAGAACAACTGCCGGTCATCGTTACGACAAAGTTGCTGACGCCAACTTTTTTGGTTTGCCATTTTCTGCAGTTGTTTCTGAAATAATCAGATTGTTAAGAGCTGAGCTACAATAGTTTATTGCTTCCAATATCTACAAACAAAATAACAATATAAGCCGACACCAAGTTATTATAATTGCACCTGCAAAATAACTACTTAAGTCTAAAAGCAGTTATATCGCTGCCAGAATTTAGCACCAATGTCTCCGGGGTTGTAGGCGCACCGAGGCGCACCCATTCTCTGGGCAGTCCAGCATCCTTGCGAGCCGACTGCAGGGCTTGCTGCAGAGCAAAAATGACGCTGACTGCGAGGCAACAGGGCGGCTCACCTGTTGCCTTGGAACGCATAAAGCCGGCTGTAGTGGGATTTGGATTCTGTACCATTTCAATGCGGAAATCGATGGGTATGTCTTTGGCGCCCGGCACCTTGTAGTTCCAGGTGCGGTTTGTGAGGAGGCGCCCAGTCTGGCGTTCGTAGACTAATTGTTCGCTCAACCAATAGCCAAGCAACATGACAAATGAGCCCTCAATTTGGCCGATGTCTATGTAAGGACTTAAACTTTCGCCGGCATCCTCGAGAATGTCCACGCGTTTGATCTGGTTATTGCCAGTGAGCACATCCAATTCGATTTCTGTTAAAGCCAACCCGTACACATGATAGTCCTGCATGTCGCCAGTTTTGTAATGGTCCGAGGAAATCAGATTGATCGAGGCCGCATAGGCAGCCTCCACCGTTTGCTCCCACGTATTTTTGTCCTTTTTAACGGGCTGCAAACGAGCATTGAGGGTCTCGCAGGCTTTCCGCACGGCAAAGCAGAGACTCTCGCTGCCCACAGCGCCTCCAGTTACCATGGAGTTGGCGCCGTTGATAGTATCCGAGGATTCCACCTTGACGTAGCTCAGCTCAATGCCCAGAGTGTGGGCGGCAACCTGAGCGATCTTGGTGTTCATGCCTGTGCCAAAAGGACTGTTAATGAATATGAATTTAATATAAATGAAGGCTCAAATACCTTGACCCATTTCGATGCCACCATGTGTTACCACCACCGTGCCATCCAAGTGATAAATAGCCACCGTTGCTGGGTACTGGCCGAAGTAAAAGATGGGATAGTCCATGACGGCCAGGCCCAAGCCGCGCTTATGCCAGCGGTTCTTGGCATTGTGCTCCTCGATCTCCTGCCGGCGTGCATGATACTCTCGCGACTGCAAAAACTTCGGCAGCAGTTCCGACATTTTGTTGTCCTTGGAAATGTTCAGCAAACGTACATCTGCCGGATCGGCCTGTACCTCAAAGGCGATATGCTCCAATATCTGTTCGATCATGGCAATGCCCTCCACCGAGCCGGGAGCACGGCACCATGTGGAGCTGGGGGCATCGGTGAGGACGGCATTTCCGTTTATCTTGTAGTTGGTATCCGTAAAGTTATAGCAATTGCGCGCCGTAAATGTGGAATGTAATTGGATGGGGCTTTCGTTGCCGGTCCAGCCAGCATCCTCATAGAAGTCGTTCTTGAGCGCCACAATCTTGCCATTCGATTGCACATGAAACTCGTATTCAGCGCGGCAGGCCCAGCGCTTGCCATTCCTGCTCATCATGGACTCAATGGACTGTACGAAGCGAACTGGACGATTCAACTTGTGGGCGGCCAGTGCAGCGGCGCAGGCCACTTGGTTGCCTCGCGTTATCTTGCCACCATAGCCGCCACCCAGTCGTCGCACTTGCAACTGCACATCCTTGGCCTTCACCTGCAACATGCCTGCAATGACCGCTTGTGTGTGATCCATCCATTGCGTGGCCGAGAAGACCTTCAGCCCATCCTCGAAAGGCACCACAACTGTGGTCTGCGGCTCCATGGTGAAATGATATTGCAAGCCTATATCAAATATGCCACTCCCACTCACATCCGGGGCGTCCGTGTAAATCAAGCGCTTCAGCTTCGATTGGCTTACGCGCTGAATGCGCGATTCGTCGAGCTTGGGAGCGTCGAACACGTCGGCCATCGTGGGCAACACCTCACGCACTCCACTCTGACTGTAGGTCACCTGCACTAGCGAGGTCGCACGCTCTGCCTGATCCGCTGTCAATGCCACAACCACGCCCAGGGGTTGGTCATAGTGCTTCACAGTGGTTGCACAAAAAATTTCCTCCTCTGTGTAGCCAAAGTTTGCATTACAAAAGGTATTGGTGCCAGGCACATCCTTGGCAGTGTAGAATGCCAGAACACCGGGCTGCTTCAAAGCCTCCGTAGCATCTATTTGTTCAATGGTCGACCCCACTTTTGTGGCACCAACAAATGCGCAATACACGGTATTGCTTGTGGTGAGAACATCGTTCATATAGGTTGCCTCTCCGGAGCATTGTATCATGCCCTCAACTTTTTGCACTGCTTGGGTAACCGGATAGCTTTTCTTTTGTGTTTGGAATACCTGTAGTCCTGACGATAGGGGGCGCTGCAGTATGTTGGCACCGCTTTTGTAAGCCTCAGCGACTTCATCCGAGGGTGCGGTGCTCAATAGAAATTTGTAGAAGAGACCACACGCTAGCTTTGAACGATAGGCAGGCGATGCATCCGGCAGAACCTCATCAGGCTGCAGTATTGTGGAAAGCTGACCAAACGTTTGTTCCATCAGAGCAGCGTCGTAGGGATTTCGGGACACCAGTAATTTCTCAATAGCCGTAGCATGAACGAAATCCGGCCGTATTCCACCAAAACACAGACGTGCACTTTGAATTGTCGGACCTTGTAGCTCCAACAGAAAAGCAGCATTCACATATGCATGAGCGTTTTGGGCTCGAGGCATGATCTAAAAAGTCCATTATTAGTTTTTGGTTATATAGGAGCTTCCTTTGCTCACCTTGTAGGAGTTGTAAACGAACTTATCCTTTGGATACGCTTGCAGCAGAAAGGACTTCAGCACCAGCTTTCTATTCGAAGCACTCAAATAATCGCTCAGGGACATTTCCTGCTCTTTAGTGGCGCTTTCGAGCACCACAACGCGCACATTCAAAGCCTCGAAGCTAATGAAAACATCCGAGGGAAATTCAGGATGCTGCTTCTTAATGGAAATGTTGCCAGCCAACGTACCGCCCTGTGAAACATAAACCCATCCATAAAATATATCTATAGAGCATAGATCGTAACTGCACTCACATTCCGCACAGGCACATTCGCTATCAAGTCGAAATGATGCCACACTTGAGCGCAATACTCAAAGCCAGCTTGCTTTGAGGCAGCGTCTAGAATGTCCATCGCCTCGCTGAGACTTAGATTGGCGCCGAGAGTTAACAAAGCTGCAGAGCTGCTGTGCTGTCTCAGGTCTCCAATGCCACGCACATCTATGAAGTGCTTTATGTTGGCGGAACGACGATATACGCCATGCGCCGTGTTTCCAGCCACCAGCATGAATTGCTGGCTATCCTCTACTTTGACCAATGCCTCGAACAATTGCTCCAGCGTCTTCGGCCAATGCCACTGACTGCCATCGGCATAAATCAGCGAAGTGCGCTGACAACTTCCAGCACAGGGTGTACCTGTTTTGGGACAATTGCGAGTGCCACTCAAATCCTCAATATCGGCACACTCCGCCGGCACAGCAATGTCGCTGTCCACAGCGAAGGATTTCATGGCGTCCAGAATGGGTCGATAGCCAGTGCAGCGGCAGATGTTGCCGCCGAAAGAGTTTTCCACCTCTTGCATGGTCACCTCGCCGTGCTTCGACTCCAGCAGGCCGTACATGTTCATCACAAATCCCGGCGAGCAGTAACCACACTGGGTGCCATTCATCTTGGCCAATCGCTTCTGTATCGGATGATAGCCACTGCGTTGCGTGCCCAAACCTTCGGCCGTCACAATCTCTAGATCTGTGCAGCTGTTGAGCAATGTGAGGCACTGCAGAAGATATATAGTATTTATTTCTTGGTTATGACAACAACAATAGGCGGTTAACAAAAGCGATCATAAGATCATAATAATATTAATTGTCTTTCCGGAAATTGTTTTAAATATTAAAATATAATTGTGTTTGTTAGATAATTTCTTGTTTTTTTTTTTTTATCGAAAAAGAGCCAAATAATTAAAGAAAAGATCACCTTATTCTAGTTGATAGCTAATTAGATTATTCGAGAACACGAAAGGAATGATTAAATAGCCACTCTTTCATTAATGGGCTTAATAGAGAAGTTATTAATACCATCTACAGAGATATTAGTGTTGACAGCAGGCGATAGTGTTTATTCAAATCTGACAACGATTGTGCCAAGAGTAGTCATTTGTGTATCTAATAAATCATTTCTAATATTCAATTTACAAAAAAAAAAAAAAAAAAAAAAACAACCAATTATGTGGATGGAGTCTTTATACTATATTCAGTTTTTATTTTTTCGTATTAAGATTTTATTCGGCAGACGTGATGATGATAGACTCGGTATAATTACAAAAAGATGATGAAGGTGAAGAAGTTATCGTATTGAAGCTAAATATAAAGATGAAGACAACATAAAAACGCAGACTAGCTCACATCATCTGTAATCATCTTAAGAAGAAAGACAACACCAGCGAACTCTATACAATCATTAAGATAATATTTCATCTGCATTTTGATTTCTCTCATGCAGATGAAGAAGTCAGACTAAGGATATAGGAGTATTTATTTTTTCTGCATTTTGATTCTAAGATCATGTAGATGAAGAAGTCAGACTAAGGATATACAAGCATGTGTTTCTTCTGCATTTTAATTCTAAGAGCATGTAGATGAAGAAGTCAGACTAAGGATATAAGTTTATGAGTCCTCTGTGTGGCTGCTTACCGAATTAACGGCCCAGCCATGGGTCTCACCAGTCGCTGGATTCTTGCCTCGCACCACGCAGACGCAGGCGCCACAGCCGCCCTCCTGGCACATGAACTTGGTGGCCGTAAGCTGCGCATGCTCCCGTATGAATGTATTGAGCGTTAGGTCCGGGGGAAAATTCGTTAAATTCACTGAATTAGAAACAAATGTTGAAGTTCAGATAAATCCGAACTGTAGTTACACAACTCACCCGTAAATGGTTGCCCATTAATTGTAAAACTAGTCGTCATTGTTACAAGTCTGCTTCTCACTTGTTGTTAATTAGGGAGACGTTTTATTTTTAAGTGCTCCTAAAAGTAATTTTAGCAATAAATTTGTGTCGACGTGTTTTTGTTGGTCCGTTGGTGGCGTCTGCTGTGCTCGACGGCTGCCTCTCAACTGTGCGATCCAGTAGGCGTCGATTTTGCAATTTTGAACGGCAGCAGCTCTAACTGAAAATTATTACAAATGCAGTTTTTTTTGATTAAATAAACAATTCGTCTTGCTGTTATTGTATGTATGTATGTACATACAAGTACATACTCACAGAGTCGTTTGTTTGTTTGTTTATTGATAATTGTGCAGTTTCGATTTCGGCGTCGTTCCGTTCAGCCGCTCACTACAACAATAACTAAATGCCGGGTCGGCATTTCATGCTCTGGCTTTTCCATCAGCGTTTCGGGTTTTTTGTTGTTGTTTTTCGGCATTCTGCTAACCATCAGCTGGGCGCGAGTCACGATATTTGCTAAATAAAGCTAAATATACCGTGAATAGGGCTAACTGTGTACACATTTGTAGAGTATCAGTATATGGCAGCGTTTCTCGATTAACGACCCATTAAAGTTTTTAGTGCTATTTATTTATGTAACTACTTGTTATGCATAGGTATATATGTATATTCGTTTACAATTTGCTTATTGTGAATGGAAAGTTTTAGATTCTTCGATATACAAATCGATACATTAACTAGATTTAACTAGAGTTGTAACTGATCGTTTATCGTTATGCTTCTCTTTTGGTTTCTGTTTATCATCTTGTATAGAACAGTTAGAAAATGCACAATCAGGTATCCCCATAATTTTCTGCCAATTAATTTAGTTTGTGAACCACACATTCCAAATAATAAGTTAGAATAAAGTTGATTATAAGGGAAATTATCGCTATTTGAATGGCCTTTCTTGATGCTGACCATTGAACTCGGCGTTACATTTCCAGCAACATATAGAACACAAATTTGTCTCAATATTCATTTGTATATAAATTAATAGATTATTCAAAACGGATTTTGGTATGTTGCTGAGGAATTTTTGTATAAAAAAAATGTGGGTCTGTGATAGATAATCACATAATGAAATACTAAAATATATTTATTCCGATTTTAATATAGAATTAAGATTGCTCAAAACTTATTTCTTTGGGAATGAATTTTAAATAAGAAATTTTGTTTGCAGTCTTCTGTTTAATCTAAGTTTCCTACCCTATTGTGGTATTTTTATTATTATTATTATTTTTTTTTTATAGTACATACATAGCATGTATCTAAAAATTTCGGAGAGTATAAAGCCTTCAGTCTGCTTATCTTCAGCATGATGTTGCAAAAATTGTGATAAGCTGTGCATGCATTTGATGAAATACTTGTAGCGTTAAACAATAACAATGCTATGTACTTAATAGCAAACCGTCCGGCACTAACTTGGTTGGGATGTACAACAATGGAAACAAATGACATTTATTTGCATAAATGAACAGTTGAAGTTATAGAGATAGTCATTGACAAATTACCAGTTGAGTGCCAAGCACGTGAACACATCACTTTGAATTGGTGCGCGGCGCGCTCTCAGCCGTTGCGCTCTCAACTGTTGCGCTCTTCATTATTTTCACTCTCTCACTCTCTCTCTCTCTCTCTCTCTTGCGAACTCTCTTTGTTTATTTATAGATCATTCATTTAGAATAGTTGTCAAATTCTTATTAGAAAGAACTCTTCCCTGTTTGCAGCTGACCGCGAAAAAGTTCAACCGGTCGACAATTTTAAGGTGTTCCTACAAATACATACACACACACACATACACATTCATACTCGTACATGTGCACATTAGTCAGCGGCTGGAATGAATGATGTTCATGCGCTTATCGCATTCACTGTTACTTTAAATCTTGACGCGGCTTAATTAATTAAATAAATGCCCGTTTACGGGTGCCGCTGCCTTAAGACAAATATTTATTCTGACTGGCTTTTTATTAGCTGCTGCACAAGTCCTTCTACAACCAGAGAAAAGTGTCCACTCATTTTGAAATCATTTGTCAAAATATAAATCGAGGCATGCATGAACAAGAAGAACATCAGCTGCCAGTTGAAGGAAATCTTACATAATCATCCATCCACATGCCGCATGTAGAACAAGCGAGGCAGCACTGAACAAAAACAACAGGAACAACAACAGCAACAAAGACTGCAGACATCTGATTGCCTGTGCCGCGCACCAACCTTATCGATATTCAAAAATCGTAGTCCAATAAAATGAAAAAAAAAAAAAAACGTGTGCCCCATCCGCCATCGGATCCAACAAGTAAAATTAAAATATGAAAAACGCAATCTTTTCTCACATGGCTAAGCATTAGACTGAGGGACCCGAGAACTAAGGCAACAAGCAACCTATGCGGAGCGGTGAGGAGGGGAGGCCGAGGCCGGTAACCCGCTGTCAAACAGGTACCGGCCGACTTCATGACTATCCTCCCCCCTCCAACCATGATTCCAAGATTCGGCAATGGCCAGTGGTGGTGGGTGTGTCGGTTATTGTTGTTGCCGGAGCTGTCATGCATAATAAAATTCCAATATATTCGCTTGTACACCTTCACGTTTCTTCTTCGTCTTCGTCTTCGTTGCGGATCCTTATCAAACACGAAAAGTGACGTGCCCGACTACCAAAGATGATGATGATGATGATGCAACACAGTTCCAGTCCCAGTCCCAGACCCAGTCGCAGTCGCAGACGCAGACACAGGTCAGCTCTAACAAAGGTAACAGGCAGCAGACAGCCGTAGCGAGAAGCGGGAAGTGTAAGGTTTTATAGGCAGCCTATCTCATCATTGTCCACACAGTGACCCACAAAAGCGTCAAGCTCAGAAGAGTGTGTTGGGGAATCACAATCGTTTCGTTATTCACACCATTCACTCAATTCTGTCACAAAAACTTGGCTTTTTGGGATTTGTAAAAATAATGTAAAATAAAAATGTTAAATTATTTTTGGTCTGGATATTAATAACTTAAAACTAGTCGGTATATGAAGCAACTAACTGTCTGGATTAACCAAATAAAAATGACAGCAATAATCAGGTCTTATTCCGATTCCAAATTCCATTGAATTAATCGAATTAATCAATGCGGAAAAGTAATGGATTATTATTTTTCATCACAAGTGGATATTCATAAATGAAATAATTATTCGTCAAGTTTATTTAACAAATTTCATGATTGTCCACGATGGACAGTTTTAAATAAAAACACTCTGCTAATAGAGTAAGACACTAGTATCTTCAATTAAAACCAAATTTTATTTTGTTTAGCATTTGTACTGTCATAAAGATCATTAGGCAGATAATGTATGGCAAAATAAAATCAAGAAAATTAGCAATACAGAAATTTAATTTTGATTTAAAAGTAAGCACAAATAATAGTTATCTATTGCTAATAGAAATTTCTTTTCTTTTCTACTTAATTAAACCAGGGACTGTAATCATTATAAGTGTTATTAAAAAAATTACAAAATAATGATTATTTTTTAATTTTATTCATTCGCTCACAATTTAATGATTAATTTTGAGTTTTACTTTAAAACTTAACCAATAATCATTATTGATGAGCAAAAAAATAAAACTTATAAAATAATGATTATTTTTTGAGTTTTATTTTTTTGATCAAAAATAAAACTCAAGCTGAAAAAACCCATAAATGTGACGATTTTAATTTCTCGAAATCCAGATTGAAAATAAATAGCTTTAAACTATTTCCAGTGGCTATATCCTGTCCTTTCCTTTTTCCTAAATGCACAACTTATTTATTAATGAAATTTTAATAATTAATACAAGCGTTCGAATTTAATGAGAAGCCGTTTAAGTAGGAAATTATTTAGCTGATGTAAAGGTTCAACATCTGGGATACTAGATTGAAATCATTCAGCTTTAAATTACAAGTATTTTCAATGGATATAGCCTGCTCTTTGCCTTTTTTTTTAAATAAAATAATAAATAATATAATCGTTGAAATATAAAGAGAAGCTGTTTAAGTAACAAACTATTTAGCTGATGTAAAGGTTGCAACAGCTGGGATACTAATATAGCTGTAATTACATATAATTAATTAAAGCCAATTTTAGCGCCTTTCTGATTTCAAAATATCAACAATATTGTGAATATACATAGTTTTGTGGAGGAATAGCTTGAACCATTATATTTCCTCACCAGATACTGCCATATGTCCGACTACATTTAAAGCCCATCAATATTGGTCTCGACAGCCACACCAAACATCATTTAATACAAGCATAGGGAACCTAGGGAACCCCTCCGAAAAGCAAGTCTGAAGGGCTACAAACACATTGTGACACTCTTAACCCTTTGTCACTTCCATTGACAGTTCAATAATGCGTCATTTGCTGTGACGTGGCTGGGGGGATTCAGAGTGTTACTTGGATACAGTTAAGGAGAGTGAAGACGAGAGGGTGCGTAGAGCTGTCATGTCGATGGACAGGGAGAGGGACAACAGCAGGTACCAATAAATGGCATGTCCGACGTGTGTCCCTTTTCCTTTCCTTTCCTTTCTTTTTACTTCAGTTTCCCGGCTATGGAAGTGGAATTGCACGTTGGAGTTGAAGTTGGCGGCGGTATCATTGCCTTTTTGGCTTGTCGACGTCGCCCGTCTGATGTCACATTAAATTCGCATTATTTGCTTGAAATAATTTTGCGTTTATCGTGCGCTTAACACATTCAGCTCACACTTCTCTCCCTCTCTCCTACTTGCTGTCTTTGGACTTTATTTGTTTATTTCGGCTCTTTAGCTTTTGATGCATGTGCGTAGATAAGCCAGAGGAGCGAAGCATTTTAATGACTTTTGTTGCATTCGTTGGCAGCTCTTTTATTTCATTCGTTTGTCTCCTTCCCGGAGCTTGTGATAAATGTTTGTTGTCGTTGCCTTGGCGTGGGCCGAGGCTGAGTTTTACTTGCGGCTCGCAAAATGCGCCAAAATGCCATTTAATTGATTCATCAGTCGTTTTCAAGTTATTGATGATAACACCAGATTCGTGTGTTGGGTAGGTCTTTGGGTTTCAGGTTACCCGATTTCGTTGGAGACCACCAAGGATGAAAGCAGACTTTTAAACTGAATTTTCCTTGACATTGATATTGCTTTGCCA